GGAGAGGCTGGGACTTGCCTAAAGCCACCCCAGCAGCAAAGCCAGGAATAGAACTGAGGACTCCTGGGGCCTAATCCAGGCAAACACTCTTTGCTCTACATCAGATTGAAATAACAAGCCCCCAATGTAAGACGCAGGGAACCAAATTCTGCCCTCAACCCCACGATGTCCCCCTGGTATAAGTGGAAATGCCAGTCTGACCCTCCATCCCTGGCGATTGCGCTGAAGGTGCAGTTGCTCTGATGGCGGGTTGTGCCAGACGGGTGAGGCAGGAGCTACCTTGAAAGTGTCATGTGCGCCGATCCAGTAGGCCTGCCCGTTAGTGTAATCCAGCGGCTTGCCCATCAGGTGAAAGATGAAGTCATTTTCCTCTGCACTGTGGATGGAGGCCAGATGGGAATTCCTGCCGTGGCTTTGACACGCCACCTGAAAAGGCACCGCAAGGACAAATCACACAAGGCTTCACCCAGCGCACCTGACCCAAAACGCTTAGAAATCAATGGAAAAACGCCTGTTGACATCAGTGGGTTAGAGCCCTAGAGAAGGGGGGTGGTCTGGTCGTTGAGGCAGTGGGCTAACCATGAAGTGGCTATTAGCCAGGATGGGTAAGGAATGGTGTCCCTAGCCTCTGTTTGTCAGAGGGTGGAGATGGATGGCAGGAGAGAGATCACTTGATCATTGCCTGTTAGGTTCACTCCCTCTGGGGCACCTGGCATTGGCCGCTGTCAGCAGACAAGATAGTGGGCTGGATGGACCTTTGATCTGACCCAGTACGGCCATTCTTATGTTCTTATGTAAGAGAGATGGGCCGAATTCCCAGTTCTGCCACACACTCACCAGGTGGCCTTGGGCAAGTCTCTTAACTTCTCAGACCTTGGTTTCCCCCACAGGGAGGGGACTAATCCATTTGCTACAGTGAAAGACGCACCCCTCCCATGGCTGTAGTAAGTGTCTATGCTAGAGCAGCACACCTGCAGTGGTGCCATTATAGCATGTGCCAGAATGGGGAAGGGGGGGGTCAAGGGGCAATTCCCCACCCTCTTTTAAAAGTGGGGGGAAGAGGCAACGTGGGAGCTGGGCTTCGAGGAAAGAGGCAGCACTTGGGCGTGGCCTGGGGGAAGGGGCAGCACAGGGGCAGGGCCTATTGGGAAGGGGCGGTGTGGGGGTGGGGCCACTGTTCAGGCGCCTCCCAACATGTGCCCTAAGGAGGATTTCCTGTCCCCTACCTCTCTCCCTGCTCAGCAAATATGACCAGCTGTTAATACTCCCTTTACAAAGGAAGTCAGTATCTTTATCCCTATTTTACAGATGGGAAAACTGAGTCACAGAAAAGGAAGTGACTTGCTCTAGCTCACCCAGCAAACCAGTGCTGGGAATAGAATCCAGCTCTCCTATGTCTCTGGCCAAGGCTCTTTCCACTAGGCCCTGCTATCAGACTTGCCTCAGCTTCGTGCCAGTTTGTCGGTTCCATCACAGCCTTATAGCAGGAGCCTTGATACTGCACCCAGCCTTCGTCACAAAAGCCGCGGGCGCAGAGACAGTTCTCCTGGGAGCAGGCACCTAGTATCAAGAGAAGGAACCAGATATGAAATGCGCGAGAGAGAGAATAAAACATCAGTGCAGCAAGTTTCACCCATCGATCCCAAAGGCAGGCAAGTATTACACCAGTTTCTCATTGCAGGAGAAATCAGTGACACAGAGTCTGAGTAGTTTCTTAGTGCAACTTGTTTATTACATTTTATGCACCAGTCCTGGACAGGGCCGGCTCTGGCTTTTTGGCCACCCCAAGACAAAAAAAAAAAAAAAAAAATAAGGGGCGGCCAGAATAGCAAAGCAAAACAAAAAACAAAAACCTGTAGCGCGGCCAGAGCGCGGATGCAGGGGGACCGGCTGGGGGGGATGGGAGGGGGAGGGAGAGGGAGCAGGCGGGAGAGAGAGAAGGGGGCAGTCAGGGCTACAGCAGGGGCGCTGCCACGCGGCCCCTCCCGCTGCGCCGCCTCCTGCCGCCTGCCGCGAGGGCTCCGCTCCAGTTGGCGGGGAGGGAAGGAAGAGGACTGCCCTGCAGGGTGCTCTGGTTCTCTGTGCCGCTGCCCCCTATAGGGCAGCCGGAGCAGAACAAAAAAAAAAAGCGGACGTGCCGCCCTAGGATTGGGCAGAATGCCGCCTTGAACAATCTGCCGCCCCAAGCACCAGCTTGCTCAGATGGTGCCTGGAGCCGGCCCTGGTCCTGGAACAGAGATGGTCAGAAACAGCACACATCCAAGTCCCTCTGTCAGGGATCTCAGGCTATGCACCAATGCCAGGTTTCCAGGGAACAACAAACCTTCCTGCCCTTTGGAACAGTCCACCTCCCCACCCCCCAATAAATTGCATTCCAGAACAGTATGTCTGCCAAGACTGTACACTGGCTCACACGCTAAGACCCAGTAAGATTGTGTGTAACAGCACAAGCATAGCAGTATCATTACCCTCATGCAGGGAGAAGAGTGAGCTAGGGGTTGCTATAATTGTTCACAATTTTCACTGATTGCTTCATTTACCAATAGTAGTTTTTCATACATGATAATTATTAATACGGCAGCCGCATTTTGCCTGGTGCTTTACAACAAATGAAAAAGAAGGGGTCCCTTGCTTAAAAACGACACGGGAGAAACATAAACGGTGGTGATAGCCAAGATTCATAGCTGCCAAGGCCAGAAGGGACCATCCTGATATCTAGTGTTACCGCAGATAACACAGGCCAGAGAATTACCCCCAAATAATCCCTACAGCCGATCTTTTGGAAAAATCCCATCTTGATTTTGAAATGGCCAGTGATGGAGACTCCGTCACGACCCGAGGAAGAGGGGGACGGACAAGAGATGAGGGTGAAAGGAAATTAAAATACTGCGAACCACATTATTTAAGGTTAACTTACGGCCGCACCCCTGGGGAAAGCTGAAAGTTGGTGCCTAGGCCAAGGGCTGGATGCAGCTGGACGGGGAAGTGCAAGGAAATAATTCAAACCTATTGTCAGCAGGTTGGGCAGGGATCTCAGCATGCCAGTGGGCCGGCTGGTGTCAAGTTTGTGTAGCCATCGTGGCAGAGGAAAGGTTTGAAGGAGGACGAGGAGTTGGTTTTGTGGATGTGTACAGGGACTTCCTCCCAAGCATGGGGGGGGTATCCTGGGAGAAAGCACCTTCTCTCCAGACTGGGGTGAGCGGAGAGGTCAGACTCCAGGGGCCTCGGTCCTTGGGGTCTTTGCCAAACCCAGCAATGGGGAGCAATGAGTGCTGATGAAGCAGAAGGGGCATGCAGTGAAGACCCCTCTCCCCGCTGATTCCACAAGGTCGAGCGGTGGCACCTATGGAACGGGGCGGGGGAGGGTTAGCAGCAAGGAAGCACAACCCAACTCACCCCAGGCAATGAAGATGAGCACGAGGTAGAGGGATGTCCTGGGATCCATCTCTGGTGAGGATGGGGGTCAGCAGGCAAATCCCAACTGCCCCGCTGGCTAGTGGAGACTCCCCTCGGGTTGGGCTTTTGAGCTTTGCTCACGGCAGAATGATCAGGGCACAGGTGGATGCAGGAACTCCTTTGGGTCAGTGACTCATCACGGGGAAATCCCGCTCCTCTGACTTGCCTTTATGTTCCTGCTGTGTCCCTTCTGGCTCCAGCAGCCCGGTTTAACCCTCTCTCCACGCGGAGGCCAGGGGAGTAAGTCCTGCAGCTGCTCACTTTATTGTGCTTGGACCAATGTACTAGTTGTCTTCAGGCAGGGAACTGGCCACATGGGAGACAGAATGCACAAGGAAATCTCCCTGGGACCTGAGCAACAGCCACCCCACATCCTGCAATTCCTTTCTTTGCCACTAGAGGAGGGCAGAGTGGCTGCACAGGTGGAAAGGAGAAAAAGCAGAAAAGAAGAGGGCAGAATTTGTCTGTGGAGCGATCTAGGTGTGGGAGCTCAAGAAGCCACCAACAGCTTCTGATGCTTCTAAATTATCAGAAAAATTAAAGGGCCTTCTATGACCCACTCTATTAATTCACCCACTCTATTAATTTCAATACATTCCTAATACTTATACCACATAAGATTGGGGTTTTTAAAATGTCTTCTTTCGGAAAGGCAGTGTTGCCCAGTGGCTAAGGCACTAGACTGAAATTCAGGAAACCTGGATTAGGAATACAGGAGCACAGGAATGGCCGGACTGGCTCGGTCTCCTGTCAACATCAGTGGCCAGTATCAGATGCTGAGGAAGAAGCTGTAAGGACCTTTCAGGAGGAGATGTGGGGTAATCTTAGGTCTCATCTTGGTCTCCAGTAGTTAGAGATCGCCGTAAGCCCCGAAGCAGGAGGTTTAATATCTCTGCCACAATTTTTGTTGTCATTAATTATAATTCTGAATGTTCTTGTTATCTGTTGAAATGGCCAGTCACCTTTTCAATCTTGCTATCTTCTTGGTCTCAATGATATCCTGTGGCAGTGAGTTCCACAGGTTAATCCTGAATTGTGGCAAGAAAAAAAAGTACTTCCTGTTATGAGTTTTGAATTTCCCACCTCCCAGTTTCACACTGACTGTTCCCTTTTCCTTGTGTTAGGAGACAGGGAGAACAACACCCCCAATTTCCCTTCTGTAAGCCATTCAGTATTTTATAAGCTTCCATCCTGTCCCCTCCTTCTCATCCCCTCTCTAAGGTAACAATCCCCCATCTTTTAAAACTCTCTTCAGAGGAGATTTTTTTCCAACCTCTGGATTTTTCTCATTGCCCTTCTCTGCTGCACCTGGTATTCAGATGCGGCCACACCACTGACTGGTATAGAGGCACTATCATAGTCCGTGTAGTATTCCCTATCCCATTTCTTATGCATCCCAATATCTTTTTTGCTTGTTTGACTGCAGCTGCGCGCTGAGGGTTTTCACTGCGCTGTCTGTATCGATGCCCAGGTCCCTCTCCTGAGTTGGCACAGTTCATTTAGACCCCAGGACAGTGCAGGAGTGGTTTAACTTTTCCCCTCCAGCATGCATTACAGTACTTTGCATTTGTCAACAGCGTCTGTAGTGACTCTTTTGAGGGACTTTGTCAAAGGCCTTTGGGCAGGCTGAAGTCTGGAATCCGTTTCTAGCTCTGCTACTGACCTGCTGGGGAGTTGAGTAAGTCCCGTCCCAGCCCATCTGCCCTTTGACAGTTGTTTGTTTAGGCAGGTTTTCCAAACCTCGAATCATTCTTGTAGCTCTTCTCCACCCTTCTGCCCATCCTTTCTGATGTGGGGACAGCAGACTTGAACAGCTGTGCAGAAAGAGCAGGATCGCCGTGAGCCCAGAGCGAGGGACCGTTTCTCTCTCAGCTTCAGTGTCTCAAGTATGGTGTCAGTTTTGGATTTGCTGCAAGGTGTTGTCCCACCGTAAGTTTCCTTTCACAAGCTCTACTCTATGTATAAGAAGTACACGCCTGCCCAATTAACATGACTGGACCCTAGACTTTTCTGCAAGGCACTATTTAAAAAGCCTGGGTCTTGAGTGAAAATGATTACAAACTGAGGTTCACCAAGGTGTGTTTTAGACCTGGCGTGTTTGCAGAGTTTGAGCAGATAATGAAGTCTGATCCAGACCATGTGGCAGAACTGGATAAACAAGTCACTGACGGAAGTAGCTGGAAAAGTTCCGCGGTGTTCTCTCTCTGGGATTAAGTTGAAAAACAAAAATAAATCTCTCTCAAAGGGTATCCTGACACATTGACGGGAAACCTTGATTTGAAACTAGCTGCAGGCCCGTGCGGTCACACGGGTTTGATTTGTAAAGGCGTGGGTAAAAAAAGCTGAAAATGGCTGAGAACTTAAAAACCGGCTAACAGCTGCAAATCCCCGTGATTCTTGAACCTGTAAACAAAAGGAGAACTCACCACCATGTTTGTAGCTGTTTCCATGGCTTCACACGCAGTCAGGCAGTCTAGGCTTCTGATGACACACAGACCGAGTGACAAGCCTGGGATCTTATTATAGAGATGTCCCTTTGGGCCAAAGCGTTTGTCTGTGTTTAGTGGCGTCATGGACTAGAAAGTAACTAAATGTAACAGTGTGTCAGTGTCAGGTTCAGGAGAGTCGGGGCAGGTCTACGCTTACAATGCTGCATCGGCGCAGCTGCACGGCTGGAGCACTGACGTGAAGACGCTCCTATACCCAAAAGGCAGTAGCTACGTCGATGGGAGAAGTTCTGCTGCCACCATAGTGCTGTCTACACGGGCGATTGGCTCGGTATAACTGCATCACCCAGGGGATGAAATCAGGGGTGGGAGTGACGTAGTTATGCCACTGTAGGTCTGTAGTGTAGACCTGGCCTCAGTTAACCCTTTGTCAATCTGTACAAAAAGAAAGCTAAGAAGAGAGCCATGGAGAAGGTGGTGAGACACTGAAAAGCAAGAAAGCGGATTGAGGGGGAAACGAGCTGAGGACTTGCTATTCTATGAAACACAGACCTGCAATAATGCGATGGGTCAGGTTAAAACCTCATTGAAGCCGATGGGCGTGAACGCACCGTTCATTTAAGACGGCTGTAAGAGACAGTTACGGAGCCCCACCTAAAACAAGGCATAGTGGAGTCTGCCCAGTAACAAGCGCTGTGTGGTCAGGGGTTCGACGGGCTGTTGTTTGACTCTGTCTGTGTGTGTGTGTGAGAGAGACAGACAAGCTGAGGTGCCTTTGGCATAAGACAGTCCCCAGGTATGAGTGCGAGGGGGGTGAGGTTAGTGGGAAAAATCACCAAAGTGGCATCCCAAAGTACTTAAACACTAAGAAAACTATCACTAATGCTAAAAACTACCATGAAACCAGGTATATGCTAACTAGCAGCAAGAATAAAACAGTGTTTTTTTGCTAAGTTTGGAAACTGCGTCACAAGGGACAAGAGAACGGCAGACGCTCCGACTCGGACCATGTGGCAGTGAGAAGGAATTGAAGGCGCGGCCAGTCAGCCCCGCTCCTTGGCCGAACCCATGAGGTCGAAACCATGGACTTGTACAAGGGCGCATGCGCAGACCAACAGACACTACTATTTGAACAGCTCCGGCTCCGGGCACCTGGCGCATACCCCTCCAGGGGAATACAATTGGGGCCATCACTCGAAGAAAAAGCAGAGGAAGCAAGCAAAGCATCAGCAGTGAGAATGGGGAGGCCCTGTGTCAGAGACCAGGACATGGGCGGTTGGGCCTAGTGGTGGGAGCAGGAGTCAGGCCTAGTGGTTGGAGCAGGAGTCAGTGGGCAGGAAGAGGAGCCCAAGTCAGAACTGGAGTCAGAGGCCAGATGTCAGAGCTGAAGTCAGAAATTGGAGCCGATGGTCAGGACCAGGTTACCCGCGAAGCGGATCTGGGTGTGAGGCAGAAGTAGGGCTGGGAACAAACAGTGACAGGAGAGAGCACCAGCACTGGGCAAATGCTCGTGTGAGCAGCTGCTGGCTTTAAGAGCTCACCTCAGCCAGTCAGATGGGGCCTGCGGCCAGGCGGTCTAGCGGATGCAGCTCATTAGGCTGTCAGTACAACTTGAGATCAAATCAGCTTCAGCAATCCAGACTTCTTTACTCCATTACCTTTTTCTGCATGCAACCACATTATTTTACTTTAAAACCTTACCCTACCGAGAATATGTGACCTTTTAGCCAACCGCTCTTTGCACTGGCCAGGTACAGATAGTCGGTGGGATTCAGGTTTCCTCGGTTCAGGGGGTGTGGGTCAGACGGTCAAGGAGAACCACATCCTACACCAAGACACACACACAC